TGTCGTCTGCTCACGCTGCTGACGGCTTCCGCTTTTTAACCGAGGCCTGTGTTTGGCTTCCGAATACTGCTGCCTCCACCGCCACCCTGCGCCATGTGTCCTCTGTCGTCTTCTCACGCACTGACGGCTTCCGCTTTTTAACCTAGGCCTGTGTATGGCTTCCGAATACTGCTGCCTCCACCGCCACCCTGCGCCATGTGCCACTGTCAGGTCTCCTCACGCTGCTGACGGCTTCCATTTTTAACCGGGCCTGTGTATTGGCTTCCGAATACTGCTGCATCCACCGCCACCCTGCGCCATGTGCCTCTGTCGTCTGCTCACGCTGCTGACGGCTTCCGCTTTTTAACCGAGGCCTGTGTATGGCTTCCGAATACTGCTGCATCCACCGCCACCCTGCGCCATGTGTCTCTGTCGTCTGCTCACGCTGCTGACGGCTTCCGCTTTTTAAACCTAGGCCTGTGTATGGCTTCCGAATACTGCTGCCTCCACCGCCACCCTGCGCCATGTGTCTCTGTCAGTCTCCTTACACTGTTGGTGACGGCTTCCATTTTGTGACCTAGGGTGTGTATGGCCTTCCATTGCTGCTGCCTCCACCGCCACCCTGCGCCATGTGCCTCTGTCGTCTGCTCACGCTGCTGACGGCTTCCGCTTTTTAAACGAGAGGCCTGTGTTTGGCTTCCGAATACTGCTGCCTCCACCGCCACCCTGCGCCATGTGCCTCTGTCGTCTGCTCACGCTGCTGACGGCTTCCATTTTGTGAACCTAGGCCTGTGTATGGCTTCCAATACTGCTGCCTCCACCGCCACCCTGCGCCATGTGCCTCTGTCGTCTGCTCACGCTGCTGACGGCTTCCGCTTTTTAATCGTAGGCCTGTGTTTGGCTTCCGAATACTGCTGCATCCACCGCCACCCTGCGCCATGTGTCTCTGTGTCCAGTCTGCTCACGCTGCTGACGGCTTCCGCTTTTTAACCTAGGCCTGTGTATGGCCTTCAATTGAAGCTGCTTCTTTCTGCTCCGCCACTCTGCCATTGGACTCTTGATAGTCGTCTCCCCACGCTGCTGCTGGGGGGACTTTTTAACATAGGCCTCTGTATGGCCTTCAATGTTAGCTGCTTACGCTCCGCCACTCTGCCATGGGCCCCTGTACCGCCTCCTCATGCTGCTGCCAGGCCCGTAATCTGCCATGGGCCCCCGTACCGACTCCTCATGCTGCTGCCAGGCCTGTAATCTGTCATGGGCCCCTGTACCGCGCCTCCTCATGCTGCTGCCAGGTCCAGAGTGTGTCATGGGTCCCTGTACGGCCTCCCATTGCTGCTGTCTCCATCGCCACACTCTGCCATGTGCCACTTTCAGGTCTCCTCACACTGCTGGTGGGTTCTATTTTGTCATAGGGTGCTGTATGGCCTCCCATTGCTGCTGCCTCCACCGCCACACTGTGGCTCCACACTCTGGTTTTGGCCCCGTGACTGCCCAAATGAGTGAAGTGTGCAGTGATTCTAAGATCGACGGCACTCATCTGCATGTCATACTGACTGACAGTATTATTTCTCTTCCCCAGCAGGCTCCAAGGGCATTTAAATTAAAGGTACAGTGTTCTGCACTAATATAAAGGCTCTCTGAAGCCTAGAAACACCCTTTTTATAAGTTAAATTCGCAGCGAATATATTCGGCACGAAGCGAATTTAATCGGCGAATTCGGCGAATCAGCCGAACCGAATTTTTTAATAATTCGCTCATCTCTAGTCACAATGTGCTAGTATGCAGCTCATACTAGCACATTATGAAAGACTTACCTGAGAATGAAGCCTCGGCAAGTCTGTAAGTCTTTCATAATGTGCTAGTATGCGATGCACGGGTATGCTGTTTCTTCAGAGCACATGTCACTGGTGATGTCACCGGCTGCCGCTCACTAGAATATCTCATAAACGGTGCACAATGAGGAGATATTCATTTTACCTACTGGTAACCTTTATTATACGCTTACCTTTAGGAAACAGTAAGAAAATTAGTTTACTATCGCTTTAAGTAATTTTATTGCCAAATATTGCGATTTTTACATGTATGCAAAAAAATGTTAATAATTGTTCTGGAGCCGAACTGGTTAAGGGGACAGCACTTTGTATACCTACAAGCCATATATCCATGTGCACGGTTTGAAGTGCAGTGTTCCATTTGAGTGCAAATTGTGAGTTTTAATAGAATTTGAATATTTTAATACAGTAAAACAAGATGATGGGCTTTTTTTATTCCATTTCAGCCTTGTTTGCTGGAGGATCCATCTTACTGAAGTAGAAGCAGCTGGTAAAATAGATGATATCCTATACCAGTGAATTTGCCCCCAGGGTGGGTAATGACCCTCTGAGGTCAAACATGGAAGTGAGCGCATAGGACCGCTGGGGGTGGTTAACACATGGTCAGTGTTATTGGATACGTGTGCCTCTGATGCAACTGGTCTAAGCAGGAGAAACCAGTCAGGCATATCCCATACTGCCTCCAGATTCACCTAATGAATACCACTGAATACCAGCTGAGAATGATAATGGCCAAAGTGCTAAGAATACTTTTTTTTGGCTGTGCCCCATATATTCGATTGAATGATTGCGGAATCCTTTCAAGGGCTGTATTGATACGATATGCTGCCTTGTTATATGCTGGATGTTGATCCCATTCTTAAGAGATCTGACCATGCTCAATTGATTATATTATCTTGAGGATATATTAAATTGAAAATGGAGCTAAATCCAGCACACGAGTATGGATGTGAACTATGTTTGAGTGAACTTTTATGGCTATTATAATATAGGGACATCTGTGAGAGGAGGTGACTTTTCCCTGAATGTCAAGGCTGTTTAACTCTGCAACCTCCTCTGGACCACAGGGTATTGCACACAATATCTGGATGCTTGGGTCAAATTGGAAATAGAATTTAACTTAATATACAGGTATGAATGTGTGAATCATGTTTAGATGAATTTGTAAGGTTCTTATAAGGAATATATGCTCACCTGTGAGAGGGAGGTGACTTCTTCAAATGATAAGGCGGTTTAACTCAGTAACCTCCCCCTGGACCACAGGGTACTACATATAATACCTGAATGTTTTTGAGAGGGAGGTGGCTGACCACTGCCAGGAGGAACCCGTTGACTCATCAGTTATGGTCCCAATTACTTCCTCTGGACCACAGTACTTGCATTATAGCATTTATCTGTGCCAAGCTGAAATAAAACAGCCATCTTCTGACTGTTATCTGTGAGAGGGAAACAATCAGTGTTCTGGAAGCATATCCACACTCCAGCTATAGCTTTTTTCCCTGTGTTATGCACTAAATGGATAAGCCAGAGGATTCTAGGAGATAATGTAACCTGTACAATTCTAGCTCCTTTTTGAAACAAATATTGGTAAATTTGTTGTTTTTGTTGATATAGTATGTTGGCAGCAATTTAAATGGGTATGCTACATTCATAGTATATTATATTGAAATATTATAACGTCCAACTGGAAATTGCGGTGGCCAACTTTATATATATATATATATATATATATATTTTTTTTTTATTATTATTATTTTTATGTAATTTTATTTTTTTATATGTTTTTGATACTCTTGATAAAGTTTTGCTACACTTTTTTAATATGATTTTTTATACATATATATTTAAGATGAACTGGCAGTAAGAACAATGTATGTAGGATATTAATCAAATAATAATTAGAAGTGATCTGGTGGCAGGAAGTGTTTTAGGCAATTGTTGTGTGTGTTTTGGTCTGTTTTGTTTAATTTAGTTTAATTTAATTTAATAAAGGTGTATTATTGAATTTACTGATCCATTGCCACAATAGTTTGATACAATTTTTAAATATTTAAGGGTAATTAGGGGGCAGAGTTAAGCCAATATCCATTTATAGTGCTTTTTGAGGTTATTGGATACATATTTGTTTGAGCAGCACATTTTTAAATGGACTGTTGTTCATGAGTTTATTTTAGAGTTGGAGAGACATCTTTCTATTGATTTATTCATATAACGGATGTTTTCACCATCATTCAGTACACTATATGCAGCGTATATATATATATATATATATATATATATATATATATATAATAAATTGTTTTGTGTGCTGTCAGGGGCGGACTGACAACTCATGAGACACCCGGGCAATAGGGGATCATGGGGCCCCTGTATCCTTGCCCAAACTCAAAAAAGCCTATGAAAAAGGTACCAGGGGCATCTCATGGGGCCCCCTACTGACCCCGGGCTCTCGAGCAGTGCCCGAGTTTCCAAATGGTCAGTCCGCCCCTAGGTGCTGTTTGTTATCACAGGTGCTAATTTATTTGCACATAGGGCACTTTGCAGTTTTATGATGTATTGACTTTTTATATTGACTTTGTATTCACACAACAGAGGTTCTTACTATCATTCACTATATGCTATATACAACATATTGCCAAAAGTATTGGGACGCCTGCCTTTATACACACATGAAACTTAATGGCATCCCAGTCTTAGTCCATAGGCTTCAATATTAAGTTGGCCTCCCTTTTGCAGCTATAACAGCTTCAACTCTTCTGGGAAGGCTGTCCACAAGGTTTAGGAGTGTGTCTATGGGAATGTTTGACAATTCTCCCAGAGGCGCATTTGTCAGGTTAGGCACTAATGTCGGACGGGAATGCCTGGCTCGCAGTCTCCGCTCTAATTCATCCCAAAGGTGTTCTATTGGGATGAGGTAAGGACTCTGTGCAGGACAGTCAAGTTCCTCCACGCTAAACTTGCTCATCCATGTCTTTAAGGACCTTGCTTTGTGCACAGGTGTGCAGTCATGCTGGAACAGGAAGACAGGAAGGGGCCATCCCCAAACTGTTCCCTCAAAGTTGGGAGCATAAAATAGTCCAAAATCTCTTGGTATGCTGACGCCTTTAGAGTTCCCATCACTGGAACTAAGGGGCCAAGCCCAACCCCTGATTGACATCACCACACCATATTCCCCCCGCCACCAAACTCTACACTTGACATAATGCAGTCAGGCAAGTACCGTCCTCCTGGCAACCGCCAAACCCAGACAGGTCTATTGGATTGCTAGACAGAGATGCGTGATTTATCACTCCATGATTTACACCACTGCATTTGACACTTTGCTTTGCACTTAGTGATGTAAGGCTTGGTTGCAGCTGCTCGGCCATGGAAACCCATTCCATGAAGCTCTCTATGCACTGTTGTTGTGCTAATCTGAAGGCCACACAAAGTTTGGAGGTCTTTAGCTATTGACTCTGCAGACAGTTGGTGACTTCTGCATACTGTGCACTTTGTTATAACTAACAGTTGACCGTGGCATATTTAGTAACAAGGAAATTTCATGGATGGTCTTATTGCACAGGTGGCAACCTATCACGGTACAATGCTTGAATTCACTGAGCTCCTGAGAGCGACCCATTCTTTCACAAATGTTTGTAGAAGCAGTCTGCATGTCTAGGTGCTTGATTTTATACACCTGTGGCCATGGAGGTGATTGCAACACCTGAATCCAATGATTTGGAGGGGTGTTCCAATAATTTTGGCAATATAGTGTATACATATATGTAAGACATTTTTAAAATGCTGTTTGGTATCACATGTGCAAATTTTATTTGCATAGGGCATTTTGCAGTTTTATCGTATTCGTTTATGCACAATATATACAGGATGTTTGTGTCATATATCACATTTGCAGTACACTTAATTATTTTGTTTGAGTTATTTATCAGTTATTAAGGTTTCAGCAGTATAAGATACAGCATTCTGATAACTCACATTCACATAGAGGGTTTCTACCACTATTCACAAATGTTAGTTTTTTTTTTTAAGGGGGCAGCACTATAGTTTTTGGCTATTTGGTTCTAGTACGTGTGGAACCACATTTCAGTGATTATCAGCAAGCCCATGATATATTTTGGTAATAATTTTAATTATATATATATACTGTTTCACCATCACAATAGTAGCAAGATGGTATTTGGACATATTATTTTCCAAGAAAATGTGAGTAGTCGAAGACTTCCTCTACCAACTTCTATGTTTAAAAGTAACAGAGGCAACCAGGTGGGCTGTTGCAATGGGTCCCTCATTGATAGAGGTCTGGAGGAGGTTAGCCTCAAAACATCAGCTGCCACAGGAGGAAGTGAAGGACAGTAGGAAGGCCTGCAGACACATAAAAGAGCATGGCGTGAGATTTACATTGATATTGCTGGCAATAAGTAAAGCACATTAAGTTATCATGTCCCATTTATAGCCAAAGTTCTAAATTCTGCAATTCAATGCAATTCAAAGCAATTCAATGCAATTTCAAAATTTGCCACTTAGCAACATGAACATGCATTGTGTGTAAGGGTTTTTTGCTGTTTAACAGATTCTTCTTCCATATCTGTCCATGACACCAAGCACATTATGCTCATTTTTACAGGCCCTGATTTATATTTTTTTAATACAGACTAGGCCTATATGCCAGATAAGCTTGTATGTTTTTGACTTCTGGGAGGAAAGCAAGTACTTGGGTGAAACCTAAACAAACACATGGAGAACATATGAACTCCATGCATATTGTGTCCTGTAAAGGTCCTATTATTAAGATGAGAAAGACATAACTGATGCAAAGCAGTAAGTCACCCAAAGGACCTTTGCGCAAAATCAGGTTTGTGCTAGGACCATAAAACCTGGGTTAAAACTGGGCTGAATTTAGCTATTATGCCCTTGGCTCATCTGAACCCTAATTTTCAACTTTAGAGCTTCAGAAAGAGGGGTAGCTTGATATGTAGATCACATGCAGTACTCAGCAAAATGTGGACAATCCTGCATTGTGGACACATTGCACTGAATTTTAAATAATGACCCAACATCAGTGGGAAGAAAAAATGTCACCCAGCATTGGTCAGAAAGGAAAGATTCTCCAACAGTGTTGGTGAGCAGGAGGCGCTGCCCATTCTCTTTGCTAGTGGACAGCTTAGCACTGTAGTCATCTATTTACTTTTATAACAATCAGCTTGGCCTGGCTGCCATCTATTCACTTTGTGACCTAGGAATTTTGTTCAAACTCTAGGGCAGTCCTGCAGGATCTGAGACAGTTTGGAGGGGGAGCATGTTAAATGATTACACACTTTTGTGTAGCGCTCTTGTGTCATGTGATTATTTTAGCATACCTTACAACTAGAATGTGCTGTTTTCTTAAAATGGAAATTCACTCTCTCGATCAGCATTGACTATTTTTAATCCTTATGCTGCTAGCATTTGTAAATAGATAGGAAAGTATAGAATATTTACTTATTATTATTATACAGGATTTACAGTATATAGCACCAACAGTTTGCGCAGCGCTTTACAAAATGAAGGTAGACATTACAGTTACAATGCAATTTGGTACAAGAGGAAACAGAGGACCCTGCTCATTAGAGTTTACAATCTAGGAGGAAGGGTTGAGTGATACAAAAGGTAATACTTGTTTTACCATTTTTTTTTTTGCATTCTATCATTTACTTCCTGGTTTCCATGGCTAGGGAAATGATGTCATACATCCCAGGAGTCTTCAGGAGGGGAGAGAGAGTTCTCAGCTCCGTCAATGCCTGAGCTAAGGGCAGAGAGATTCCAGGAAGTAAATGCTACATGAATAATCAGTGGTTTATTTTGGTTTTGTGCTGCCCTAGGCAAGACTAAAATCGGGCACCCCCCGCATCTAAATTTGTCCCACCCCTTCCTGTTTCAGATCCACCCCTTCATCTGTAAACCCCTTCCTATTTAGGCTCCACCTCTTCTATTAGAGCCCCGCCCACTGACAACGATGGGGCGCTATTCCTCCCACTGACGTCAATAATGGGGCACTATTCCTCCCACTGACACCAATGATGGGGTACTATTACTTCCACACTGACACCAGTGATGGGGCACTATTCCTCCCACACTGACACCAATGATGGGGCACTATTCCTCCCACACTGACACCAATGATGGGGCACTAATCCTCCCACTGACACCACCAATGATGGGGTACTATTACTTCCACACTGACACCAGTGTTGGGGCACTATTCCTCCCACACTGACACCAATGATGGGACACTACTCCTCCCACACTGGCACAAATGATGGGGCACTATTCCTCCCACTGACACCAATGATGGGGTACTATTACTTCCACACTGACACCAGTGATGGGGCACTATTCCTCCCACACTGACACCAATGATGGGGCACTATTCCTCCCACACTGACACCAATGATGGGGCACTGTTCCTCCCACTGACACCAATGATGGGGTACTATTACTTCCACACTAACACCAGTGATGGGGCACTATTCCTCCCACACTGACACCAATGATGGAGCACTAGGAGTTGTTTTTCAAAATGATTTCTCATCAAAATAAAGCATGGAAAAATGAATGAATGAATGGGATGTTTGCTTTGAATATTAACAATGAATTAAATGACATTTTTGGTTTGTGTTGCTCAGCTGCATTGCAATTCCGCTTTATTATGCAGAGCTACTTTGTAATTATGTGGGCTGCAAAAAAGATAAAGAAGAGATATTTTCTAACAATGAAGAACCTTCTGACCCCTCTCAATATTCTGTGTACAGTACATACTCTCTCAATACTTTTCTACAATTGGATTTAGACAAAAATGTCCAGTAATGGCAGCAAAATGTGGAAATCGTTATCACAGTTTGTGCATTTTAAGGTTTGGTGCTGGTCCTTTAACCCTGGTGCCCTGGGCTATGGCCTAGGAATTCAAAGAGGTTTTAGTATTATTGATTTACTTTTCTCCATTGGGACACAAAGTGCTTCAGTCTCCTATTGGAGTAAATCATGAGGCAGCTGGCAGAAGATGATGCAGCATGAACAGTAGAATATCATACTAGGGCCAATTAATGTACCAGCATGTCTTCAGAGTATGGGAGGAAACCCACGCAAGCAAGGGGAGCACTTGTAAACTACATGCAGATAGTGTCCTAACAGGGACTCAAACCGAGGACCCCAGTGCTACAAAGCAGACTTACTAACCACTAAGCCACTGTGCTGCCCACAGTAGAGGGTTGTAGTCACTATTTCATGAAGAGTAAGTTGGCAGTTTATACCAGCAATATTTATTTAAAGGATAAGTTCACCTTTCATAACATGTTACACCTGTAATCAGGGTTTAACATGTAACATGTTACGAATGGACTGGTCCCCGCTCCTCCTCGTTCCCTGTTGTGATAGCTATCAGGGATTTTCTACCCGCCCTCCCCGATAGCTTTCAAAATAAAAAAACACCAGTATTCTGTGAAAGCCTTTGCGGCTTTCGGTTTGTAGTTCATTGAGTCTATCAGTCAGTAAGTACAGTTGCAAGAAAAAGTATGTGAACCCCTTGGGATTACGTGGAGTTTTGCATGAATTGGGCTTAAAATGTGCTCTGAACGTCATCTAAGTCACAACAATAGAAGAACACTGTCTGCTGAACATAATACTACACAAACATTAGATGTTGCCATGGTTTAATTGCACATAACATGTAAACATTCACAGTGCAGGGAGGGAAAACGTATGTGAACCTTTGGACTTAATAACTGGTTGACCCTCCTTTGGCAGCAATAACCTCAACCAAACGTTTCCTGTAGTTGCAGAACAGACCTGCACAACGATCTGGAGTAATTTTGGACCACTCCTCTTCACAAAACTGTTTCAGTGTAGCAATATTCTTGGGATGTCTGGTGTGAATCGCTCTCTTAAGGTCATGCCACAGCATTTCAATCGGGTTGAGGTCAGGACTCTGACTGGGCCACTCCAGAAGGCGTATTCTGTGCTGTTGCAGCCATTGTTTTGTTGAATTACTTGTATGCTTTGGGTCATTGTCCTGTTGCATCACCCATCCTCTGCGGAGCTTCAGTTGGCGGACAGATGGTCACACGTTTTCCTGCAAAATGTCTTGATAAACTCTGGAATTAATTTTCCCATCAATGACAACAATCCGTCCAGGCCCTGAGGCAGCAAAGCTGCCCCAAACCATGATGCTCCCTCCGCCATGTTTTACAGTGGGGATGAGGTTTTGATGTTGGTGTGCTGTGCCTTTTTTTCTCCACACATAGTGTTGTGTGTTCTTCCCAAACAACTCAATCTTGGTTTCATCTGTCCACAGTATATTTTGCCAGTAATGCTGTGGAACATCCAGGTGCTCTTTTGCAAACTTCAAACGTGCTGCAATATTCTTTGTGGACAGCAATGGCTTCCTCCGTGGTGTCCTCCCATGTACTCCATTCTTGTTTAATGTTTTCCTTACTGTAGATGTGTCAACAAAAATGTTAGCATGTGCCAGAGATTTCTGTAGGTCTTTAGCTGACACTCTGGGATTCTTCTTTACCTCATGCAGCATTCTGTGCTGTGCTCTTGCAGTCATTTTTACTGGGCGACCACGCCTAGGGAGAGTAGCAACAGTGCTAAACTTTCTCCATTTGTAGACAGTCTGTCTTA